CAAAAAGAAAGAAAGAACTCATTCTGGAATTCTTCACTTTCAACAAATACAATTAATATTTTCAAGCTAGAATAGACATCCAGCAGTAAGGACTACTCATATTTCAAGAGGTTACCAAAATAGATATTGTACTTTCTGATATGATTAATATTCAGAGCAAGAGAAATCACATGAGATCAAATAAACTGTACAAGCAATTTTTGTTAGATTTTATTGTCCAGTTATTACCACCAAGTCCTCTGAATAGCTTATATCTACTAAAATCTTAGGGATTAATTATTTTCTCATTCCCATTAAGTCCTCAGATATCATGCCCTTTCCAGTGTGGGGAGTCAGGCTGTGTTATTCATATAGACATTACAGCTCACTTTGTAGTATTTATAATGACCATTCTGTTTTGACAGGTGAGTATTGCCTGCTCCCAGTGGCCATGGGAGATCAGTGAGTGTTTCTGAGTTCAGAGGTTCAGGGACTGCCTCAGCCTTGTCCCAACTCAATCTTAAGGAAGTTTTCCGAATATATGCTGTGATGCTTGCTGCCACACATAAGATGCCTAGGTTTCTATACAGAAAAAAACATCTGGTCCATAATCTGGACATTTAAGGGCACTGGTCACAATGTTCACATATAAACCACTTGTATGGATTCGTGAAAAAAAATCACTGTTTTATGCTCATTTAGAGAGACTTTAAAGACAAATAACAGTACTTCCCTAAATCCACTGTCAAAATGTGAAAGAACCAAAATTAGGTAAGCATTAAAATTTTAGAAATTTGTTCTAGTTGCCCCTTTCCATCACTATTTCATTGAGAAGTCAAAAATTTATTCAGCTATTTCCTTTTGACCAAACTTCTAAGTAACTCTTGAAATTAATTTCCTTTACTTTGGATAAGAAGGTGAGCTATAGAAATGAAATTACTTTATAATTAGTTATATTAGGTATATTTGTTGAATATTTAAATAAAAAATCTCTGAGTAACAGAACTTTCAGTATGAAATGTTTTCAATGGTATCCATCTGTTGCCTTTTTATCTCAGTATTCTTTCTTAAGCATGTCTTGCCTGTTGACATTCAGCTGTTATTCTCTAATTCTCCCAGGTCCAAAATAAAATGCGTTTATTTAAATATAGCATTGCCAAAACCCAGGAAATTGTTTTTTTTATCACTGCCTTCACCAACACTTGCATCAAAAATACCTTCAATATTATCAGTTCTGTATTTTAATGCCTTCTGTGAAATTCTATGTGATAGGAGCAACATATAATATAAATATATAACATTTAATATAATATCTTTTCCTGTAAATTCAGCTAAATTGTATCAACTGAAAAATCTTCTTGAGTAAAAGCTTGTCTGTGACATAAGCTACTGTACTAAAACATTCTAGACAGAAATTAATCTATACTTACAGAAATGTGCATAAAAATGACTTTAAAAACCTCACAGTATCCACAGGTAGGAGAATAAGCTTAAGAGACTTGCCAGCAAGATTGTCAATAGGGAAAAACTATTGTCATTTCACCTCTCATTGCCTATTAAGGTACCTTTGCTAACATTCATTTATACTCACTTAGAGGAACAATTCAAATGTGGGGAATTATTTCTATTTCTTTTCCTGTGTAAGTCACTCTTTCGAAGCCACACCTTGCTTACTTTCAAAAAGTAACTTAAGAAGTTAAAGTTTAAAATTTTTCTTTAAAGCCAGCATGATTTACTCTGCTACCATTTAAAATAATTGCTAGTCTACTTCAACTTTACTCTCAACACTGTAAATTTTGGTTAATTATGAAAATTTTGTCAGTTAAGGTTGGAGCTTTTTTCTGAAGTAATTTTTTCTGGCTGTAGTTGCCATTCATGTTAGAAATATTTACTGCACAACTATATATCTGCAGTTTAAAAAATGTACCTGTTGCATTAAAAATTCATGAGAAGGATTATTGATTGGTGCCATCTTTAAACCTGGGAAAAAAATGGGCCCCTTTTACATCCTTTTGTTCATAATGAGATCAGTCAGATGCTTGGAAGAGTGAAGCATAGTGAGCATAATATTATTGGACTATGGACCTTCATAATAGAATCTGACCATATGTTTTATGATGGTTAGCTCTTTCAGGAAGTTCAGTCTCTCTGTAAATTAAAAAAAAAAATAAAAATTGGAGGTCTTTCAAACTAATCTGCTTTTTGATTTATTATCAGATAATTTAGTTCGTGTCTGTACCAGGAGAGCAATTGGCTCCATCATGGCTATATTCAGAAGTGAAAATTCAGGAACATGCAATGAAACTCTGTTGGGCAGAGTTTATTGGCCTGGACACAGAATCACATAAGCTATATTCTTTCCCAATGTGTTCTGGCACATTCCCCAGTGCTACACTCTGTTATGAGCATTTAGCGAATCACTTTAGCTCTAGCTTGGGTACTTCTGCATTGCAGTTCAATATCAATGTCACTTGACTGAATTATATGTAGACTCTTTAGAAGTCTTAATTACAAATATAAAATGCCCAAAGGTTGTTGAGGTAAGATAATGGTTTGAAGGAAAATTTTCCAAAATAGAAATGGTGTCATAAAATTGAGAAAAGAGCTAGAATAAGATAACATTGAGGACATCATGAAGACCATCATTAAGGAAGACAAGAAATTGAGATTACATTTATTTCCTTTGATATTATTTCTTACTGGGATCATTTATACCAGTAAGACTTGGTAATATATTCTGGATAAGTGAACCCAGATGGAATACGAAAACAAAGAAAGCAGATTAATTTCCCATATTAGTGAATTTCTACACTTGACCTATTTCTCATAAAGACAAGAGTAAGCAAAGAAAAGTTTGAAATGTAGCTCACTCAAGGCAAAAACTCAAGAGTTTTAAATTGAAGGCATGTAGTACAAGAGTTTATTAAAGGATATTTAAAGATTCAGCAGAAAGTAAGTCACAGCAATTTCTACTTATTGTCAGAATACTTGTATTCTATTTTACATTAATCAAGGTTTTCCTTAAAAACAAAAAAAATAATATTTTTCAATCTTGTTCAAAGTAAGATTTACAAAGAGAAATTTACAAAATGCATCATTTAACAGTAACAGAATTGCTTGCCCTTTCAGCAACACCTGCAGACTACTAGAGGAAATAGAAGTAGATGTAACAAAGTCATAACCCAGATATGTGAATTTTATGTCTGTCCTATTACTGTGTTTAAATATTTGTGGAATACAAGTGGTAGATCACATTTGTAATCTACTTCATGTACTCATAATGTTCCATGTATTTATTTGTACATGCTGTAGTCCACAGCGTATGCACAGGAATGCAACATAAATGAACACTTTTTCATTTCTGGCTTAGAAAAGCTGAATTCTTAATTTTCCCCTCTTTTCCCATGGCTGCTTCAGAAAATTCTCAATTTTTTTTTTAAATTTTTTTTTGCTTGCTGCACCTGGTAATCTGCACACAAAATAACAAAAAGTAGCCAGGAAGCAAAGCTTCATAAACTGACAAACAACAAATTTAATACTGGCAGCTGATCCCAGCTTAATCTTGGCACATCCTTTGTAGCAAGCCTTGTTCGTCTGCAACAGTCAAACAGCAATAATTTTATATATATGACTGTGAAAGGAAGAAAAAAACTACGAAAACAATAACCAACCCCCTCCCTCAAAAGAAACATCAAGCAACAAAACCCCCAAATGCACAATAAGATCCTATTTGCATAATAAAATTACTAAAAAATATTGTGTGACTGCTGCTGATATTATTAATGTATATAAGCATTAATGAGCAAAACAATCCTTCTCTAAATTACTGTTATAGTGGGGTACAAATAAGAAATAGAATTTCTCCTCTGACTTATTAAAACTAATAATAGATAATTTCTCCCTCCAGTCATAATAGTCTACTTGGAATGATCTTTATCTCATTTCTTCTTCTCTTTATATTCATTGAAGAGAGATGAAATCAAAAGCACAAGTAATGAAAGAGAACCAGTTGCTAACATGCTGCTTTTCTTGAACAAAGAAATCAGAGGTGCAAGTACGCTCATCTTATTTCCAGACCAGTTATTTAAAATGGCAGTATTGTTCTTACATGATCAAGAATAATTTCACAAAATGTTATTTTACCAAATTTTATAAAATCAGAGACAAATTTCAGAACAACCTCTTACCTTCTGAAATGAATGTTAGCAGGATTTCAGCTGTGACCAAAGACAGTTGTCAGAAAGCTCTGAAATGGAAAAATATATTTCTGTTTCTAGCATACTACTTTCTTTTAAGCTACATATCTTTATTGTTAAATTGATCTTGGATTTGCATCCATAGGTTAAATTCAGTCCCTTCTGTATAATGCATTTAACATTTGAAATAAATTTTCCGCGCTCACATTTTGTGCGCACTGAAGGATCTGAATTTGGATTATCACACCTTACAAAAGGGAACCTAATATGGCATTGCACCTTTAAAGTAGTATGTAGTAGTACATACAAATGAGTACTCTGTAGGAAAAAATGAGTTGATTTGAATATAGACATTTTCCCTAAATATTAATTATGAGCATATGCACATAAAGACATTCTGCTGTGCGACGATAAGGTATATTCAAGTATTGTTGTTAATATAATGGAACAAACAAAAGCAAATTCTGAGACACATTCAGAAAATGAAATCAGCAACATTAATTAATAGAGATGATTAGGAGAGGAATTTTTTTAAAAAAATGATTTTGAATGAAAGAATTATTCTGCACTTTAAGAAAACCATTTTGACACATGTGAGACTCCTCTATCTTATTTTAAAATATGAACTACAGTTACCTGGAACTTTGCTCACCTTTCTAAACTCTGCACCAATTAAACTGCATTGACAACTTTTAAAGATTCTAATAGAGGCAAAGAATTTGATTAGTCTCTATAAGCTTGGCGTCAGAGCTTGGGCTAACATAAGATTGGGTTTATAGCTTTAAAAAATACCAATATGCAAAGATGCAAAATCCTGCATCAGGCACTCAGTGCACATTTTCTCAACATTCATCCATGACTTGCGAGCTGGCATCTTTAAATATGTAAATTGAGACCAAGAAAATTAATACATTTTTTATGTTTGTTTCTTTTTTTTTTTTTCTTCAGTTTGCTAAAGCACTCTCCAGTTTACAGACTCCCTAGCATGCATCTTAGCAGTATGTGTCTGAAGGAGACTGGACAGGATTCAGTCCAAACATACATTTTTCATCAAATGGTGCCAACTAGTCACCAAAGAGAAGCAACTTGCATTCTGATGAAGAGGGTGTTTTCCTATTTAGGAGGAAATATAAGGATTTGGAGTGAAATATGAAACTGCTCTAAATCCTAGGCCTTTAAAGCAAAAATATTTCACCGAGAGCATGAGACATACACAAGATCCACGACTTCAACTACTGCAATTTCAGGATGAAGATACTAAATCAGCTCACTGAAGGAAAGAAATATCTTTCAGTAAGTAATTTAAATAACTACTTGTGGTCTTTGATTTTGAGTTGCTTGTGGCAGTACAGTTTTTTTTCTTATTAATACTTGCTAGTATTTTCATTTCTTATTTTAAGGCAAGCAAGTTTCACTGCTTATTTGATAATCTGATACTACTTATAACAAATGGTCTTGAGGAATTTTAGCAACAGTCCATCCCCTTGAGCACACATACGTGCTGTATATCTTTGTATAAATGTATATATATTTATAGCACATAAAACATTGCATTTAAAACTAAATAAGTGGACTTTCATTTGAAGAACTTGTACACAGAGAAATATCACAAAGGGCTGAAGAGTAGGGAGGAAGGATATTTTACAGAGGCCATGAAATATTTTACAGAGACCTGTCATTATCAGGCTGCCCAAGATGCAGCAATGGATTGGACCATGTTTGAACTGTATAGGACATGCTGGGGTAGAGGAAGTAATAATTTGTGCTTTATTCTTCTACCCTTTAATTCATGTATTTTCTTGATAGTTTTTATTTGAAATCTTTGAAAATACAAATCCTTAGAACCTAATAATAACTTTGCATAGCATCACTGAGCAATGTTGTGCCTTTGGAGAAATGTTGAAGAGGATCTCCCACTGCCATGTCAGAGGTTGTTCCTGACAACCCCCCTTACCTCCCCTCCAGTTTCCAGTGTATGTTTTAAGAGGCTCTTTCTTCATCATTTGCTGAGTTTAATTTTTCAGGCTGCCTGATTCCAAATCCAATTGCATTTCGGACTGTCTTGGGCAAGAGTGTTAATTTTACTGCATTTATTACATTTATCATTATAGTATATTAATATAATTTAATATTGCATTCAACTACTACTGTTTTATATCTCCCTGTTTGGACACTCTTGTCTTAATAATTGGAATTCTGTGTGTTGAAAAATATCATCAGTTCAATACTATTTGAAGTGTTCTACAGAAATATATATAACTGTAACTCAAAGTATAGTAGAAAGGTTGCTGCATGAACTGTAAGAAAAATATTTACAATTTTAACATATTTTAATTATTTTTTTACTATTAAAATTAATTTAATATTGATTTTACTTGAAGTATCTGTTCTGAAAATTTCAGATAACATTTGACTGAATGTTACACCATAGTTCCTACTCAAAAATATTCAAATTCTAATTCTGAATTTTGAAACTAAACAAAGTTCCCAGTCGTTTTCAGAAATGTCTATGAAGCATTGGTACATTTCTCATGTAGACTTTATTGAACAAAATATTTACTCATTAAGCATTTGGGAGCATAGAGAAATTAAATACTAGTCAAAGCACCTGAGTATGATTCCTAAAAGTCTGGGTAGATATGTAAAAACTACTGCCAGGTGTCTACTCTTCACTTTAGTTGCAGGTAAATGGATAAGGAGATATTCAGAAATGAGAAAATAAAACCTCCTAAAATATCATAGATGTAATTTATATGTAATTTTGACCACTGCTGGAAACTGTTAAATTGCTGGACAAATCCAGGAAGATTACAGAACTCTTTCTTTTCTTTGTTTAGTGCTTTGTGGAATCAATTTGCAAACGCTGCTGATTTGTGAAGTGTCTTTGTGTATTCATTTTGCTAAAAAAAAAAATAAGGTTAATGCATATTCATCAGAAAATGGCTTTTGAAAGCCATTAAATCCCAGAGAGAGGATTTTAAATTATTCTTAAATTACATAATCAGAGCAAACAGTTATTAATTTAACTGTTGTTCATGGATACAAGAAGCAGCCTGCTGAATGTTTCGGAATGAACATTCCTTAAAAAAAAGGCAACAGTGACAAAGGACTGAAGGTAGAAGTACTGTTAGTAAAACTTGTAATTCCAAATGCAGACACAAGGTTTCTAAATCAGAGTTCTGAGCTTGTGTCTCAGATTCCCATAACTAATGAGGAAATGGCAGAGAGAAAATATTACTGTTTTTGTACCTGTCTTTGTGCTGCTTGTTAAAAAAATTTAGCATGTTTTGAACTATATAAAGGGGTTATTTGTTTATGAATGTGTGGTGTTTTTGTTTATAATTATTTCTCCCCACTGGACATTCATTAAACTTCCTAAGTTTAAGAAGATGTCTTGACCTCAACTGTGTGTAACATCTTGGTAATTCCCAGATCAGTTAAGTTAGTGAAGTTGAATAACATATTTAATTTTAAGTCTCATCTGTTTTTCTGTTTTTTTCTCTCTATTAGGTGTGTGCAAGCTGCAACAAGATATGTGGACTTAAAGCATTGCTCTATTATTTGGCATAAAAAAATAATGTTAGATATAATTTAACTTAAATTCATTACAAAACATTGAGAAAGCAAGACATAGTGTAATAAACCATTTAAAATATTTTAATATATGTCACCAATACTCACTGAAGGTCAGAATCATGTAAAAACATCAGTTGCATATTAAAGATAATTTTGTTTTAACTTTGTAATGTACTTTTAGACATTGACCGCTGTTACTAAATATCTTATTTTCTGCTAAATTGGCACTATGCCCCATGTAATATATTCAGATATATTTATTTTAAGAAGATGAAAATAGAATGAGACATTTTAAGTATATGAGTAATCATGAACCTCATAATTAAATGCTTATGACATTTTAATTTATTAATTTTGAGGAATAAATATATGTTTTAACAGCCTTGTAATGCTCACAAATATTTTCTGAAGGATGCCTGAACATATATTTACTTGTGATTTATTGAAGATGTACTGAAAGAAAAAAAATGTTCTAGCATTGTGAATGAAAGACTGTTTTCTTTTAGCAAAACCCCAAAACAAAGTAGAATGTGAGTAAAGTTTTCACTTTGTTTTGTTTTGGCTTACTTTTTAGTGCAGGTGGTTCTATCTGTACTGGAATTCCATGTGCAACTTAAATTGAAAAATATAACTATTCTAAATGTTTTTCTTATATAAATGCTATCAGTGATAGACTACAAAAATCAAGGTATTCCAAATAGATGCACTATATGAATATTTCAAAATCAAAAGTGAAAAAATCTGTCTTTTTTGCCTATCATAGAGGTAGGAAAAGGAAAAAAAATAAATTGGTAGGATACATAAGTTCCAGACTAATATCTGGAATTCTTAAACAAAATTTCAGAAGTTCCTCTGAAGCTTTTCTCAGAAAAGCACTTTTCAAGTTGATGTAAAATGGTGCAATGTGCAAAGACAGAAAATTTTTCTCAAAAACCTTGAAAGAATATCTTTTTGTTGTTCAGTCATGTTTATGTCAGGGCAGCACATTTAGTGAATAGGAAAATGACCACTTATACAAACTGTGTGGGTATAAAGATGAATGCACTTATCTTTGTACAGACAGCACTTCAGTAGAGGGAAGGAAAAAAAGAATGAAAAAAGAAATACTTCTAATCTCCTAAAACTTGCAGCATGGATTCAAGCTGTTGCCTTGCTGATTGAAACTTTATCTGAAGTTTTTTCAGACATTGCTGAAGCTTTCATCAGGCAGTAGTGTTTGAATTCAAATTCTTTATGAAAAGATGCTCTGGATTTTTATGCATTTTAACACAGCATTCATTTTTTCAGAGACATTATAGAGTCTCTTTTGTATTTATGCACCTAGTAAATATTCTGTTCCTGTCTTATCTTGAAGGTTTTCTTTTCCTCTAAAGAAGCATTGCATTTTTACCTTCAAATTATAATTCCACTTGCTTATTTTTTTATACCTGCTACTGTTGATCAGACAACTATATACGTCAAATTAATGTACAGTTACTCTATGGACAACACAGATTACCCCAGCCTCTGGGCTTGCAACAGCTTTTGAAATAAGCAATACTTCAATCCTGTGTACAGGAAGCCTTTGAGAAGACATTGTATTCAAGCAGTTGGTGACCCTGGGCCAGACATGTCTGCTCTGCTGGGGCTAAAAATGTGCTGGCATGAGCAGTTCCTGTAAGGAAGTGCCTGGTTTCATCCTTCACTGCACACTGCTGGATGTTAAGACAGAGATAGCATTCCAGCCTGTTAAAAGAAGATAGATAATTCTGGGTTTTGTTTAAGATTATATCGGTATGGGTATGGGAAGGTATGGGAAGGAGGCTAAACATCTTCATGGATGGGATCTGTACAGCGTGCCATGGGGAAATCCATTAGATCTGTTCAATGCTACACAAAAGCTGGGTTAACGTCATCCACAGAGGCATGATTTCCTTCCTGTCTATATTCCTCTTTTTATTCTATCTTCATGCCATTTGCAGGTCTCCCCCACTGAGATTCAAAATAGCCCTGCACAATATCCCACTCTCCTTTCCCTGTGCCCCCTTGCAGAACACCATATGCCTGACAGAAAAATGCAGTCATTACCATTTTCTGCAAACTAAAAGCCAGAATATTATACAGCACTTTCTGGTTTAAAATTATCCCAAAGGAGTATAAATAAGTTTGTTCTCTCATTGATGTCATGTTCAATTATTGTTCTCAAAGAGTAATTGAGAGACTTAAATGAAATTCTCCGTTGACTTCAAATGCTAATACTTTTAAAAAATCCCACAAAACCTTAAAACCTTAAAAACCAAACAGACAAAACCCCCAAACCCCTTCAGTAGAGAATTGTTTCTAGTTTAGTTTGATCAACTTCCTTTTTCTTTATTTTTTCAGAAGGGTTTTTTTTCTATTATTTTGCTTACCTTGCTCTTCTACTTCCTTTCTTGGTAGCTGCAACAAATGAAAATGAATTTATCTTTTCTAGGGCATTAATAGCAACCTAAGGGATGATTTAAAAACACAAGGGAAGTTTATTTGGTTACTTTTTTTTTTAGCCATAATGAGCAGAATTTGAGTTAAAAATTGAATCGTAAAATCTTCAGGGGCTTTTTTGAGGTTATTCAGAGTTCTTTCAACAAAGTGTTTAAGTAGAAACACTCAGGGTGTATAAAATTTTTTGGTTTATATTTCTTTGTGTCTTTGAATTTCTGAAACCTGTTGGGGATTGTATACAAAGCCCTAAAGTACTT